ATAAGGACTACAGCGAGAGGAGGGGATAAAAAAACATGAATCGATTGTGTCATCGAAGTTTCTGGTAAAGCCAAGAGTTCGGTGGATAGTGGAGAGATTTGGGTGACGGGACAGACCCGTGTGAGACGTGAGTCGTTGATACGACACCACCTAGTCGGGCACCTGTCCCGTGACCGAAGCTTCAGGGGGGAGCCCTGCAAGTCTTCGGTCCTCTCCACACCACCTAGTCGACTAACTCTATCAAAGTTTCCCTGGTTAAGTGTAAATGGTTAGAGGATCACTGGAGCCAGAGTTGATGGAAAGTCTCGCCAGAGGCTAGGGTCAACTCCAGAGGAAGTGATTCGATGGGCGAGCGAGCTTGGTCGCTCGCAGGTGCTTCAATAATCCGAGGATTCCGAAGGAAAGTTATTAGTAACTGACAGTTTTTTTTTCTTAGTGGACTGGGTGACGGGACAGACCCGTGTGAGACGTGAGTCGTTGATACGACACCACCTAGTCGGGCACCTGTCCCGTGACCGAAGCTTCAGGGGGGAGCCCTGCAAGTCTTCGGTCCTCTCCACACCACCTAGTCGACTAACTCTATCAAAGTTTCCCTGGTTAAGTGTAAATGGTTAGAGGATCACTGGAGCCAGAGTTGAATCCAAGTACCCGATGAAATAGGATCGGCATCAAATTTTGTTAGTCATTGATAGAAGCTTTCCATTGGAAGGCACTAATAAAGCGAATCGTTGGGCCTTGTTCGAATAGTGCGATTACTTCGATGTGTTGAGGATTATTCAGAGATTCCTGCTCGGAGTTACTTCCCACTGTACGAACACTGACACGATTCAAACTCGTGAAACTGTGAGTGGCGTTTTGCACAACAGTGGCTAGAATGGTGGAGGATTTTTGTGTTGTATGATTCTGTGAATAATTAGTCATCACTGATTACAGCCAGCGATACTGGGGAAAGTGCATGGACCAGACGCAGATTGGAGCGACACTGATCTCGAGTACACCGATGTAGACCATACATGAAACAATTGAGCCAATGCATGAAAGAATTTCGGCCCAATGCCCATTAATTGTATATCCTAGACATCAGACTAGCAGTGTAGTGTGTTACAGGCTCTCCATGAACTTCTAACATTATGCCAGGGCCCAGGCGGAGTATGCTAGCCGAGAATAAGGATCAATCCAACAATAATAATTACAACAACATGACCATCATCATCATCGTATCGAGGACGGACCTACCCCTTCTGTTCGTACTAAGGAACAGCCAAGATATTGTACTCGTAGACTCCTGAAGTAACTCAATCTCGGGGAGCGTTGGTGATAACAAGGTCTCACTGCTAAAAACCCCTCAGCGTCCATTGTTCGAGAGGAATATTGACGCAACACTCGAGAGAGCAGACGGTGGTTGCTGATCAACCGTCGAGGGTGGGATGCGGTTTCCTGTTTGCACTAACGTTGTATCGCACAAGAAACGGAAATCAAAGATGTCTAATCCTCCGCTGTTGGCGACAAAGCCGACTTGTGAAGATACTTCCAAATAGATTCCTGAGTAGATGAGATGCAGATGACGGGGAAAGCATACACTCCTATCCCATCAAGGGTCTCTTTTATTAATGCTAAGCCGAAAACTTGAGGGCTCGCTTAGGCATCTCGGACAGCGGAGGAATGAAATGACGCGATGTATACACATGCGCTCAACCTCAATCACTTGACCGGCTACTGCTTCTTTGAGATGAGCTGTCATCAAGCGAACAGTGTACATAAACTCCACATGAAAGCATGAACATGTACTCTTGTCGGCCTGTCCGGGACAGGCTGTCACGGCCATAGCTTCCACCACATCATGAGAATCCTCGACCTCACAGCGACTCCTGCGATGACTGATAGTGCAGTATCAACACCCAAATTCAGTTCCCACATTGCAGTCAGTTGAGCCATACCTCCAATGGCCACCTTTGATAACACTATGATAGGAGGGCGTGGGTGACTAGGTTGTAGTGATAGAGAAGCGTAGTGGGGTTCGCAACAGGGACAGGTCTCACGGTAACCCACTATCCGCAATAATGAAGAGATTAACAAGAATTAACAATTGCTCGATGAGAAAAAGCGCTCACTGTAATACCAAGTCTTGGAGGAGAGTAGAATCGTCATTAAAAACCCCGTCCTGCCGCAATCATGATATCAACAATGGCATTGCTTGTGCTATCGATACTAGTGCATAGACCTCGTAACTAATGATATGGATGACGAGCATAGACCACAACTGGAAGCACCATGAGCACGTTACATTCTTCCCCCATCCTGATACAGCCAACATTGTATCCGAATCAAAGTGATCGAAGAGCATGTACTGGAGTAGTTGGTCTATCCTGGCCTATACACATGAATCATAACCAACAGAGTTATCCTCTTGCTAAGGCTGCTGCTGCTGCTCATCCTTTTACCTTCAATCGTCCCTCGGCGATCATATTGGATGCTAACACCTCCACTTGAGCTGGCGTTCTATCTAGGATATCACCAAGTCGTGCTAGAGATATGTTGTTGTACTGGTGGGATATGGCTACTATGTTATGCTCAGTTATAGCACGAGAGAGGACGGTCATACCTGGAAGATGCTAATCATTTCTCGAAACAACGAGGGAGTAGACTGGTGATGATGATGATAGTGATAACGCCATGCTTACCGTCCGGACCTAGTGCTAGATGATGTTCACTCAGACCCTTCTCGAACTCCTTCAACTCTTTGGGATATATAACCCTATAGTTCTTCACCTTTGTGAGGACATCCCACTCACAACAAGATGGTACTGCCTGTTCGCACCTGAATATAATGCGCATGAGCAGTGTTTCGCTTCCAGACATCCAACCTAGGGTCGCTAGTCATCATCTGTAGTATTCGCCTCTTCTTAGGACCAGCAGGGGCCAAGACGATACAACGAGCAGCCCCAAGCAGTAATTGTGATACATCATCCGAGTCGATAGAGGAGCTGTATGGACCTAGAGCTACCTCCAAATACCTGATAACCAATCAAGCAACCTGTAACATAGCACACCACTGGAGTCCAGTATAGAAGACATACTTATAGGCAGCATCGAGGAACTTCCGTCTCGCATCGAATATCCTAGCCTGGCATACCTTAAACCTCAACAGTAGCGCCACATTGTCGGAACCCAGATCTGGAACCTGGATGAAAGGGATAAGAAAGCAAAGGTGGGAGGCGCTCACTAGCATGGCAGCTCTCGATATGTGGGTTTCAGCGGATAGATCGTCGCCTCCCTCCAAGTAGAGTTCAGCTATCTTGGTGAAGTGTTCACATCGCGATAGACTACTGCGAAGGCTTCTGACAAACTCTACATAGCGGTCGCCCATATCCTACAGGAGTGAAAAGCTAGCTCACAGTGGTGGTCCCAATCCTCCTCCTCCTCCACCACCACCACTACCACGGCCATCAACATCTATTCGATCGAGATCTCTGGCAGCGGCGAGGAAGTCTCCTTCTGCTTGATGAACCTATTACCACATAAGTCGACATCCACTCTACAACATATTAAGATACCTCAGAGAGGTTGACCCGTAGTTGCATGATCTCTTCTCCCAACCCAGCCTGTCGTTCACTACCACTTGGTGGTGGTGATGTTGTTGACGAAGGTCCACCATGTTCTAGACCTGGTGATGGGGCCGACACTGATGATGATGATGAGGAGGGAGAAGAAGAAGGATCTAATAGCTCTAACATTTGTAACTGGCATATCAAGTCATATGTGGATGGACGGGGACGATGGGTCCTGAGCTAACTACAGAGAAATCCTCCAAAGCCGAGTTAGGCAGGTCAGACGTTAGCCGGCACATAGACTGTATGACCGCTCGTGCGAAAGGCTGATTATCTCTACAATTATTGATGACCTGCGAGACACGGATCAGCGGGCGACATAGGAGGTCACGTATTACCGAGCGAGCGATACTCAATAGGTATCCAATGTTGTCGTGTTCACATCTAAGTACATTCTCTATAGCAAGAGCATCAGGATAGGCCGCACTGAGCTCCCGAAGAGTCTGGTCCATTGATACACTGGGGATAATTACTCCTATCAGGGGAGTGAGGACCACGTCGTTGCACACATGATATCTACA